CAGCCAATTTGTTTACGATGATTTTTGTGACACGAGTGGAGGTCGAGGGCGCCCCGAGACCTCCACTCGTAATTGAATATACATATGTATGTTTTAGATGAAAATGAGTCCATATAACCATCTTTTGAAAAATTGAAAATCGTCACCAATGCAAAGCTTTCTCATGAGGAAGCAATAGAATATAAAATGAAATAAAACAGTATCCTGTTTAGATAAAAATATAGATAAAAATATAATATAGGGTGGATATCACGTCAAAAGTCCACCCAAAAAAAAAGTTGTCCAATTATTCCCAAATTTTTTTTATGATATGCCCTATAGGTTAGTAATTTGTCGGATAAATATTTTTGAATTTTATAAAAAATTGTCCGAGGGGAGGGGGGTAGAAGTTCTAAACTTTTGCGTGACACGCTCCACATTGATTATTTCTTATAATTAGAGGAAAAAATTTTTAAAAAAATTAGGATATGGGTTTTTTTTAGATTTTTTCATGGGCTTTCGAATGGCACAGTCTATTTTCAAATTTTTTTTTATTTTGACACAAATTTTGAAAAAATAAAAATAAATTTTCACTTTTCGCATCTTTGGGTTCAATTTTTCTTTTTGCTTTTATTTTTAAAAGAAAGCTGAGCTTTTTTCTAATGAAATACTTGTCTTCCAAAAAACCGTTTTTTTTATTTTCGAGAAATAAATTTTTGATATAGCGCATCACGTCGTCGCGCCGCAATTTAATTTATAAAACGTTTCATTGAACTATTTTTTGCATTTTACAGGGTTGAGACTGACATTAGAATAATATAATGCCTGAATTACAGTTTTTTTATTTTTTTCAAATTAAAAAAAATTTTAATTTTTTAAATTTTTTAATAAAATTTTTTAACAATTTTATTTTTAATTTAATGCCTGTATTTTATTTTTTTGTTGGCTTTTTTTTTACTTTAGCTGTTCTCAACTTTGTCTCTGCATTTTTTGTTTTAGTGCCCTTACTTTTTGAATCTTTTGATGCTGGAAACTCCACATGATTTAAACCCAACGAAGTTTTTTTAAGGAACAATTTTTCGTCATTTGTAGGAATATCCTGTCGAGTCAAAAGATTAGAAAAATAAGAACACTAAAACCAAAAGTACAGAGACAAAGTCGAGAACAGCTAAAGTAAAAAAGCCAACAAAAAGAAAAAATAAAATACCTGTTTTGAAAATGTAACGAAATCAGTATTTTGAAATAAATAAAAATCGGAGGAAATTTTTCAACATGAAAAAATAAAAAAAATGGGAAGAAATGAAATAAATAAAATGTAAACATTAAATTAGAAATAAAACCCGTGTGGAAAAAGCCCCCATGAAGCCCACACGACACGAGGGCCCCCGGCGGGGGCCGACGAGGGCTGATCCATGTGGGCAAATCCATGAGGGCCACGCCGAGGGCCCGCATGGATCGCCCACATCATTGACTTGCAAAAATTTCTAAGTCCAAACCTCAAATCATTTTTTTTACAACAAAAAATTAATGTTTACAATCATTTTAAACAATGAAAAACTCATTTTTAACAAAAAATTATTTACACTTTTTTGAAAATATCGAACTCACATGAGGGCAAATCCTTGAGGGCCCACGCGAGGGGCCCGCATGGATTGCCCACATCATTGACTTGCAAAAATTTCTAAGTCCAAAAAAACAATTTTTTTTACAACAAAAAATTAATGTTTATAATGATTTTAAACAATAAAAAACGCGTTTTTAACAGAAATGTTTTGACATTTTTTTGAAAATATTGAACTTACATGAGGGCAAATCCTTGAGGGCCCACGCGAGGGGCCCGCATGGATCGCCCACATCATTTACCAGCAAAAATTTCTAAGTCCAAACAAAAAATATTTTTTTACATAACAAAAATTAATGTTTATAATGATTTTAAACAATGAAAAACACGTTTTTAACAAATATTTAATGTTACTTTTAAAAAAATATAACACTTATATGAGGGCGAATCCTTGAGGGCCCACGCGAGGGGCCTGCATGGATCGCCCACATCATTGACTTGCAAAAATTTCTAAGTCCAAACAAAAAATATTTTTTTACATAACAAAAATTAATGTTTATAATGATTTTAAACAATGAAAAACATGTTTTTTGGTATGGTGTATTAGTGTCAATAATGTTTTATTGAATCATCAAAAGCAAGTCAGCTAGTCACCTACTATAAAGAAATAAATTTCAAGTAGGTCCCTTAGCACAGTGGTAAAGCGTTTGTCTGATAGTCCGTAGGTCGTAGGTTCTATTCCTGAGTGCGTCAGATTTTTTTTTTGGTCACGATTTAATTAAAAAAAGTAAAAATCGTTAAATAACAATGTTATTTATTAATAGTTGAACTTGTTTATTATTAATAAATAATTAATTTATTAACTTAATTTTGAAAAATAAAGGTGAGGGTAAGTCGAGGGCAAAGATGAGGACAAACGCGAGGGCCACGCCGGGGGCCGACGAGGGTGCCTGCGTGGATCGCCCATGCGGGCGCCCTCATCGATCAGCATGTCGTTTCCATGAGGGGCCTCGCCTGGATCACCCACGTGGGCCCCTCATGGATGTGGGCGATCCATGCGGGCCCCCGGCGTGGGCCAACACCACTTTTCCACACGGGAAGTCTAAAAAAAATTTTTTTTAAATTTTGTTAAAAATTGAAATTTTTTTTTAATTTAAAAAAATACAAAAAACTATAATACAGTCATTATATTATTCTAATGTCAGTCTCAACCCTGTAAAATGCAGAAAATAGTTCAATGTAACGTTTTATAAATTAAATTGCGGCGCGACGACGTGATGCGCTATATCAAAAATTTATTTCTCGAAAAATAACGGTTTTTTGGAAGACAAGTATTTCATCAGAAAAAAGCTCAGCTTTCTTTTAAAAATAAAAGGAAAAAGAAAAAATGGACCCAAAGATGCGAAAAGTGGAAATTTATTTTTTCAAAATTTGTGTCAAAATAAAAAAAATTTTGAAAATAGACTGTGCCATTCAAAAGCCCATGAAAAAATCTAAAAAAAACCATATCCTAATTTTTTAAAAAAATTTTTCCTCTAATTATAAGAATTAATCAATGTGGAGCGTGGTACGCAAAAGTTCAGAACTTCTATACCCCCTCCCCCTCGGACAATTTTTTATAAAATTCAAAAATATTTATCCGACAAATTACTACCCAGGCGCGCGCGAAAGACCAATGCTGACGATGGGTTGAAGCTTGATTGAGTCCTGAACGCCCAGCGTGGGTAACCCAGAGTTGAAGCAGTCTTTATATCATTGTCACTCAATATTGGTTCAGCATGGGACACCAATGTTCGTCCCATGCTCGATTCAAGACTCGGTCAATCTTCGTGAGTGAAGCTTAAACATCCCATCTTTATTCAAGCTTGAATCAATCTTGATAATTTATTTATTACCGTGTGTACTTAACAATATTAGATATAAATATTTATAAATTATTTAATATTAAAATATTTTTTATGATAATTTTGTATACTATTTAAAAATTATTATTAATTATTATTATTAAGATATCAATTTGTTAATAAATATTAATATTTATTTAGTGTATAATATTTATATTAATTATTAATAATGATAATAATAATAATAATAATTATTATTATTATTATTATTATTTTTATATTATTATTATATTATTTATTACTATTAATTATATAATATTCATATAAATAAAGTTAAATTATATATTATTATTTTTTTCTTGCACAGTGTCAAATTACTGTTTTCAAAGTTCAAGACTTTCGTTTTTCTGAAAAATTTTCAGTGAAAAAAATGTTCATTAGGGTGTAATAAATATTTATGCCTAGTAGTTGTACACTAGGATCAACTGTTTAGTAAATATTATCAAAAAACTATTTTTTGTCAAACGCGTGCGACTAAATACAAATAACCTTGAGACTTTAGCATTGGCAACTGAAGAGTTTAACGTATGTGTTGAGTTGGTAATGCTGGAGTTTCAAGGTTATTTGTGTTTAGTCGCGCGCGTTTGACAAAAAATAGTTTTTTGATAATATTTACTAAACAGTTAATCCTAGTGTAAAACTACTAAGCATAAATATTTATTACTACCTAATGAACATTTTTTCACTGAAAATTTTACAGATAAACGAAACTCTTGAACTTTGAAAATAGTAATTTGACACTGTACAAGAAAAAAAATATATATATAATTTAACTTATAAAATTATCATAAAAAATATTTTAATATTAAATAATTTATAAATATTTATAGATAATATTGTACAGTGCACACGGTAATAAAGAAACTGAATATTGTATCAGGATTGACCGAGTCTTGAATCGAGCATGGGACGAACATTGGTGTCCCATGCTGAACCAATATTGAGTGACGGCACTGGGATTGATATAGTAGATTAGGCGAGAAGCCTTCCAGCCTTCTGTGGCCAAGCGGTTTAAATGCGTGCGTTAGATACTTCCGGTATGCATTAGGGGCGGGGAGCGTGAGTTCGATACCACATGCGAGCGAATATTTTTCATTCTTTGTTTTAAGCGTCATATAAAATAATAAAACTGTGTGTTGTGTTGTGAATAAAAAATGTGAACATGGTTTGTAAATAATGTTAAAAGTCTGTTAAAAAATCAAGAAAAAAATGTATCGATTAACAGAAAAATTGTATTTTTTTACTAAAATTATTTTTTTAGTATTACTATTTCAAATGACATTTATTGTTAGTAATATATTATTTATATAAAAATAATACAATTATTATAATAGTAACTTATTGTCATTAAATATATATATACACACATACATGAATTAAAATAATAATAATATTTATTATTATTATTAATAATTCATATATTCACATTATATTGAATAAATGTGAGAAACGAGTAAATTTGGGAACAGTGGAAGCAGTCTTGTTTCAGTCCTACATTAGGCTTCCGCAGCATTGATTGAGCATTGGTGTCCAATGCTGAATCAAGGCTCGCGCTGCAGTCTGGAATCGGTGTTACATTAAAGCTTCGATCATTCCTGCTCTCGCTGATTCACTCATGCTCAATCAATGTTGAACAATGCTCGGCCAATCTTTATAAAGCCTGAACTCGGCGTCACTTTGCGCCTGGGTAACCTATAGGGCATATCATAAAAAAATTTGGGAAGAATTGTACATTTTTTTTTTTGTGGACTTTTGACCCCGTGCAGAAATCGCCACTTTTGTTCCCGATTACCGCCCTGGCCCCGGTCGGGTTATCATGATCTGGCCCCGACTTTGTGGCCCCGACCAGGACCAGGCCGGATTTGCCCAAGGATCTACAAACAGCGCACAATGGGATTTTTTTTTTACAATTTACTGTTCAAAACTGTCTACAGCCTACAATTCTTAACCGGTTTCAGTATTCTTTATTTTAAATTAAAGGCGAATAAATTCTTAAGACATCCCTTAAGGTCAATTTTTTAGTTCTTAATTGTTTATAATTTTTATTTTCAATCAAAGTTAACAAATTAATACAATTTTTCAAAAAAGGAGGCTTATTTTCTTATTCCGTTGCTGCATATGATCTGAATCAGTTCAAATTAATACAATATGACCACCACACAATTAATAAAACAGAAAGTAATTTATATCAATTGTTATAAAGGATGGATTCAAAACTAAATAAAAACGAAAAAAATAATTTAGTTTTGGTGCAGGAATCAAAACTAAAAGGTTACTGTATTTAGTTTTGTCGCCCTATTCAAAACTAAAACGAAACTAAAGTTTCGAACCCAACCCTAGGGAAGGCTTCAAAACTAAACAAAAACAAATATATAATTTAGTTTTGATGCGCAGGAATCAAAACTAAAACGACCTTGATTTATGTTTTCGTGCTAATAATGAAACTAAAAGGTCCCTATACTTAGTTTTGTTACCATATTCGAAACTAAAATGAAACTAAAGTTTCGAAGCCATCATATAAACAATATTAATTAACAAATAGTTAACTTTGATTTCTCTCCACTAAAAAATGTTTTTTTCACCTTTTCTTTTTAATTTAAGTTCATTTAAAGAATATTTGTCCTTTTTGATTATAAAATAACTTATTTAAATTGTTATAAACAATATTATTTAACAAATAGTTAACATTGATTCCTATTCCACTAAAAATTTTTTTTTCACATTTTCTTTTTAATTTAAGTCTACTTAAAGAATATTTGTCCTTTTTGATTAAAAAATAACTTATTTAAATTGTTATAAACAATATATTAAATAACAAATAGTTATGTAACTTATGTTCCTGTCCACCAAAAAAATTTTTTTTCACGTCTACTTTTTAATTTAAGTTTATTTTAAAAATATGTGTCCTTTTTGTTTAAAAAATAACTTATTTAAATGGTTACAAATAATATTAATTAACAAATAGTTAATTTTTGTTCTTTTCCACCAAAATTTTTTTTTTCACGTTTACTTTTTTATTTAGATAATGTTAAAAGACCACGGATATATAATATTAAATATTTAAATAAGTTATATTATAAGCAAAAAAGACATATATTCTTTAAAAGAACCTATAAGTACACGGAAAAAAAAAGTTCACGAATCTCTCGTGAACTAGTATATCACTTTTGGATGGGACACAAAATTTCAAAATTTTCATTCACTTTTGATTAGAAATGGCGAACGTCAACGAAAAACTGAAACAAACTTAATGAATTTTTGATGAACTGTTAAGGAAGAGTAGTTCGTCAAAAGTAGAGGTACAAGTTCACGAAAAAATCGTGAACTCGCGAGTGTCAGTAGTATGCGCAGTTCGTAATGCGCATCAAATATGGCTGATCAAGCATTCATCATTCAGTCGGTGTCATCGGTGTTTACATTCGGGAAAATTCTTTGATGAAAGTTATTATTTAGAATCAGTGTTTTTTATTACTTAGTGAATATTTTTGTTTGCTAATTTCCTTTGTGAAACAAATAATTCATAAAATGAATTAAAAGTTACGATAAGGGACTTTTTCTACTTTGCACGGTCCTGAGTTTTACAGCAGACAAAGCTAATCGTTTCGTTTGTCGAAGGACAGTGTATCTAGATTTAGCCGTGGCGGTTAGTTGTTAGAAATATTATGTTATAGGGTATAGGTACTAGGTTCGAATCCCGTGAAGCGAATTACGAATTTTAATGGCGATAAAATTGTGTATTCTGTGTAGTTGGGTGCGTAATAGGCGTCAAGTTATCAAATAAAGTGAAATACTATAAAAAAGTAGTGTCTGGAAATTATTTTTTCTTGTTTTTAGCATTTTTTAAAAGTTCACGAATTTTTCGTTAACTTTGACGAAAAGTTCGGAAACCGTACTATGTTTCTAGTGAAGGAGTTGATGAAATTTTGACGAACTGTGTTTGTTGATTTTCAAGAATTTTGTGTCCCATCCAAAAGTGATATACTAGTTCACGAGAGATTCGTGAACTTTTTTTTTTCGTGTAAAAAAGAAAATTTGTAACAAAAATTTTTTTTTGGACAGGATTATAAGTTAACTATTTGTTAATTAATATTGTTTATAACAATTTAAATAAGTTATTTTTTAATCATAAAGAAAAAATATTCTTCAAATGAACTAAAATTAAAAAGAAAATGTGAAAAAAAAATTTTTTATTGGAGAGGAATCAAAGTTAACTATTTGTTAATTAATGTTGTTTATAACAATTGAAATATATTACTTTATGGATTTTTAATTGTCTGCTCGTAATATTGGATTAATTTGAACTGATTTAGAGCATGTGCAGTAACGGAATGAGAAAATAAACGTCCGTTTTTAAAAAATTGTGTTAATTTGTTAACTTTGATTGAAATTTGAAAATAAAAATTATAAACAATTAAAAACTCAAAACTTGGCCTCGAGGGATGTCTTAAGAATTAATTCTCCTTTAATTTAAAACAATAGGACAAACGCACCAATTGTCGAGGCTATGCGGTATGTGTATTCGACTTTCGTTCTCGAGGTCTAGGGTTCGATCCCCCGTGCGTGCGATATTTTTCCGTCTTAGTTTTAAGTGTTTTGTGTATAATTCTTAATAATGTTACATAAAGTATAGGTTTAAATAATTATTAACAATAATAATAATAAATTAGGCATTAATTTAAATAAGATAGTCTGTCTAAATTAATGAAAGAAAATAAGAAAAATATATTTTTTAAAAACTTAGTTCAATAAAAGCAATTCTAATAATTATTTAATAATCAAATAACGAGCTTTAATATAATAAAATGCAGTTAGTATTGGATTTCTACCTGGGTAGCGAAAAAATCGAGGGAAATCCCATGGCCCCGACCGGGTCCCGACAGGGCGGCCAGATCGGGCAAAGTGCCATGGCCCCGGTCGGTTTTAGTGTTTCAACCAGGCCGGGGCCAGGTCGGGTTGCCAGATCGGGTCCCGGTTTGTCCCGACCTGGCCCCGGTCAAAATTTCTGCACGGGACGTGATATCCACCATAGATAAAAATAAAAACTTTGAAAAAATGCATTATTTAAAAAAAACAAAAATTTTTCCAACTGTAAGTATTCAGGTTAATAAGTAAAAGAAAAACTCACCAAGTATTGTAAGAGTGATGTCAGCTTCTAAGATGGTGGTATCGTTTCTTGCCTGACAAGAATAACGTCCTGCATCCGACGCCCTTACTTTAAGTGTATAAATTGTCTGATTTGCACTCTCCGGGTATAAAATGAAATGGCTTTCACCACCTGGCCAGGGATATGCCCTGTTGTCTTTAAACCTGCAAAAAAAATAGCAAATACACTTTAAAAATTACGAGCATTTCAATTTAATTATTAATTTAACAATTAGGTACCAATAATAATAGATTGTAAATTATAAATTACAATTAATTTCAATACTTATTTTTAAGATATTTTTAATTGTAATTATACTTTCAGTGTACCCATTTGCCAATATTGGACCACAATTATTGAAGTTATGCATTGTTATTCATTGGTTACAATGATTGGACCAATATTAATGACCAATTGTTTACAAAGACTTTAATTAATGCTTGGTTACAAATATAATACAGTCGAACCTGGATAAGTGGTCCCACTTATCGAGGGACCACTTATCCAGGTTCGACTGTACCAACACATGGCAAAAATTTATCAAAAAATAAATTAAATTTAATGTGAGAAAAAGGACAAGTAAAGATACAAATTATAATATAAATTATATTAAATAAAATATATATTTTATAAACTTATTCAAGTAAATTATAAATCATAAATTATTTCAAAATAAATTATAATCTAGAAATTATAAATTACAATTAAATTACAGAATATAATTTACAAATGAATTAGAAATTATGAAGCACAAATAAATTATTAATAAATTAAAAATACAAAAAGAAAAAACTGCAGAATGTATTAAAAATTGAAATCAGTAAAATTCTCGTATTATTTAAATTTTAAAGCAAGTCATATAACGATATGAAATTCAAAAAAGGAAGAGAGAGAGGGACGGAATATTACAAGTGTCTCAGACAGTATCAATAGAGGAGAAAAAGACGGCTCTCTCTCATTTTTATCAGATTTATTCTTAAATTTCTCTATCAAATTCGTGACGCATTACCATTATCGACTGTATTTTAGAAAAATATTCTTCCAAGATTTTTCAGAAGGCGTCAGCAGTCTTGTCAACCACCCGAAGAAAAATCTATTTTCTTCGGGCTAATGGACATTCTGATTCCGTTATAACTCTACGCCAGACGAGCCAAACGCCATAAATTTCTCACTCCAAAAAGGGTGGTGAAAAGTATACTCGCAAAAGAGTGTATGCGACCTTTAATTTATTGTATGCCATGAGTGAGTGCAATTACTTCGAAAAAATAAATATATTTTATGTGACGCTCCTCGAGAAAAAAGACCTATCTTCGAAACAACATTGAGCTCAGTTTTCCGGTCACAATGCATGAAAACTGAACCTAATGCTATTTCGGAAATGGCAGACAGTCTATAACTGAGAGTGAAACAGACTTGAGCTATATAATATTATAATATTGAATGTTAAACGAGTAAAAATGTAGAAAAGTATGAGAAAAATTTATTTTTAAATTTTCCAATCGTAAATTCTACGTGAAAATCACTATCAAATAGCAAATATAAAAATGGTAAAATTTATATAATGTTTTGTGAATTTCAGTAAAGAGAGAATATTTTCTAGCTTTTTTTGTATTTTTGATCGATTATTCAAATAATATTCAAATAATGGGTCGATTTGTATAAATATTCTGTTTTAAAATCTGCTAAAATAATATTCCTTATAAAATCAATGAGATTTACTTCTGGATTTATTAATTTTTAAGGATGTAATATAAATGAATACAATATAAATAATTTTACAGAAATAAAGAATAAGAAATAAAATAATAAATAAATTTAATAAAATAATAAAATTAAAACAATAATAATAAATGCAAGAAATTTAATGAATTATAAATATAAAAATAAATGCAGATTGTCGGTTCACAAGTATTTTTTTGTTACTCTGGAAAGAAAAGGATTACATGTCGCATACCCTTCAAAAGGTTTGTTGCTTGTATATACAATAAACAAGTAAACAACATTAGTATTGCAAACATATTCGCCAAGCTGCAGTAAGTTTACTCGTTGAATACATCTGTTGCCTTTGCATTCAAAACAGGTGCACGATTCCGTTTACTTTGCGATTAGAACATTCTAATTATATAAACATTACGCAATCTTTCGAACTAGGCTCATCAATTTACAAATAAAATTATATTCTTTGTACCATTTTTTTGAAAAAAAATACAAACAAACAAAACTTAATCAAAAGAAAAATCACAATAAACATTCCTGACATAAATGTATTATACTTGCATGTAAAGTTTCTTTTAAAATGAAGTCAAGAACATTAAATTATGTTAATTACATTCTTTGAGAGTAAAGTTAATTTTGAAAAAGAGTGAAAATTAGAAAATTTTTTGATTCCTAACGAACTAATTAATTTCTAATTTATTCTTGATTAAATTCTTTATTAATTCTCTAAAAAACCAAATAACATTAGAAAACCTAGACAAAATGTTATGTAACGGAAAGTCTACATTTGAAGTATACCTGCAGGTAAAAAACAAAAATCAATGTAAACAACACATTACTTGAATAATATTTTATTGTTTGTTTATACACTAGGGTGTCCCAAAAAAATAAAAAGTTTTTTTTTTATTGGGTCTCATCCCCTAAAATTCTTTCAAATTGTGTAAAAATAAGAACACAATATTTGGAAATAAAAAATTTTAATATTAACATGTGGTTCAGAGCCTTTGAACCATAGAAACGCTAAAAATGTAGTGTTTTTTCATTTTTAACATAAATATAAATGTCAAAATATAATGAATAGGGTGTCATTGTAAAGATAATTAAATTACCTTTTGATCCATATGTCATAGTATAAGATTCAATGAAAATTAAGAGTGTTACAGTCGATTAAAGATTAAATTTCATGAAAATTTTGATGATTTTTATTTTTTAGACACTCAAGTAACTTGTATTTTTTTTACATTAAACAGTAAAAAATATTTAGGTTTTAATTTTTTTATTGAGAGTCTGTAACATTACGAAAATTTTTAGCTCTTGTGGACCTCGATTTGATTGAAAATGACAATTATACACTAGATTTAGTGAAGGAAACTATTTTTTTTATTCTTATCATTCCTTCAACATTTGGAGCAAAAATTGAAACAATAAATTTAGATATAACCACTAAACTTACTAAAATCAGTGATAAAAAAATACTGAAGTCGCTGATTTAGAGTCCAATGTCAGTTTTTCAAATTTCAAAATGGCGGAGAACTTCATAAAAGTCGATCGAATTCGTCTCAAAATCGGGTAACGGATTTTGAGACGATTAAATTACGGATTTTTGTAATGTTACAGACTCTCAATAAAAAAATTAAAATCTAAATATTTTTTACTGTTTAATGTGAAGAAAGTACTAGTTACTTAAGTGTCTAAAAATCATCAAAATTTTCATGAAATTTGATCTTTAATCAACTGTAACACTCTTAATTTTCATTGAATCTTATACTATGACATATGGATCGAAAGGTAATTTAATTATCTTTACAATGACACCCTAATCATTATAATTTTACATTTATATTTATGTTAAAAATGAAAAAACACTAAATTTTTAACGCTTTTATGGTCCAAAGGCTCTGAACCACGGGTTAATATTAAAATTTTTTATTTCCAAATATTGTGTTCTTATTTTTACACAAATTGAAAGATTTTTAGGGGATGAGACCCAATAAAAAAAAACTTTTAATTTTTTTGGGACACCCTATTATACACCCGTCTTAAGCTTATCTAGTTATACAAGTGTTTCTACATTAATATTTTCTTTGCAATTTTTTATTATAACCCTTATTCTAAATTTTGCGTCTACAGAACGACTTTAATTAGGAGTAGTAGTTGGAGTAGTCCTGTCTGGACTACCTGTCTAATGGGGTTTCTCGCCAGAGGAGAGGGAAATTGTAGAAAACCTCTGCTGAGTACAACCGGTTTATCGACAGCCTAGTCCTAATTTCTAATGGTGTGCATTGGACAATAATCGACAGTGCACATCATTATACCTCGACGTCAAACCTCATGCTTGATATATTACAAAACTAGTGAGAAAACACCGGGCTATAACGAGTGTCAAAGCGCGGCAAGTACTAACCACACCACAGTAATATATGGGTCAAATCATACCTAACAAATCAAAGTTGTCCCTCAGTTCTCCGATTTTTGTGAAACTTTAAGAAATTGTAGGGGAATACATGCGAATAAAAATTCCAAAAAAGATTTTCGAAAATTTTGAAAATTTGTGGTTGTTCAGGGTTTTCAAATTTTTTTTTGAAATTTTGAAAACGCAATATCTCAGAGACATATGGATGGATTTTAATGATTTTTTCAGGGATAACTTATTATTTACAAACAATTAAAATGAAAAAAATTGCAAAAAAATTTTTTTTTGTTTTAAATAAAAAATTTAAAAAATATTGTTTAAACAAATTTTTTGTTTATAAGCGTATCTTTAATTTTATTCTTATAGCGATATTTTGATTCCTTAGGATTTCACGAGTATTTTGACATAAAGAAATCGATGGAGACTCTTAAACTTTCGGAGATATTGTATTTTTTGTCTTTGCGCGCAGGGCCAAAAAGCGCAATGAAGCAAAGGCTCTGTGTACAAGGTAATGGTCAAAGTTACCTAATACTCGCGTAAATTTCAAACGAATTGAATTCTTTCTTTTTTAAATCAATTAGTAACATTTTATTATTAAATAAATAATAAATGAATAATATTTAAACAATAAATAATTAGATAAAAAATAAAACTCGTAAATTTCAATCGAATTGAATTCTATCTTTTTTAAATCAATTAGTAATATTTTATGAATAAATAAATAATAAGTTTTTAATAAATAAACAAATAATTTGTCTGCGTAAAATAAAATAAACAAATTAATGTTAATTAAAAAACAGTTCCGAGTAGATTATTTGATTACTTTTTAACTACTCTGATTTGTTCAACAAGCCCTACATTAAATTAAAAAACCTGTTTTAATCATCAAAAAGAATTTAATTAAATCAGATAAATAAAAAAGTAATATATAATAGAAAAGTAACATTTTATTCGTTTACATAAAGCGAAGACCTAGTTCGCAAATCGAGTAATTCTTTATATGAAGAGCGCGCATGCGTAGACTCGACTCGGATA